CTATTATTTCACACAAACTCTTCATTGCATTGAATTTACTCTTCATTTCAATCAACGATTCACTCATTTTTAAGCAGATTTATTTAAAACTTTAATAAAACAAATATACTTAAAAACTATTTCAAACTGAAATACTTGAAAAGTGAAAAATGTGTTTAATATAATCATTTATTATGCATTTGAAATAGTATGCATTAACTTCTTATCTAAATAGCATTCATATTAATATAAACAAAATTTAGAAACCATGCTAGTTTTCTATGAATTGAAATGATTTTGGTATTTATTTTATTAGATATCTGTTTGAATAATGAAAATGCTGAATATGCTAAAATATGTAAAAGCAATTTTTAATACAGTTTTTTTGTTATTTTGTATTAACATTTTAATTTTTAATAACAATTATTAGTAACAGTATCAAATCAATTTAACGCTATTAATAATAACTTATTATACTTGTAAGATATAATATATTTATTTTGATATTTGTAATTAGTTTTTATAAGGTTTAAAAATCTTTTTTGTATTGAATTTTTAAAAATTCAAAATTAATATTATATTTTGCATCAAATTATTTATCGTTTATAAATAACTTATTTAAGATAAGTATTACATGTACTTTATTTATCACAAACTTTACATATGATATGCAAACACAACGTTTTAAAGTCCGGTTTCTCAGGCTCTAGGCCTTGGGTTTGTATAGACTCAACATTTGTATTGCATTTAGAATTTAAGTAAAGTCTTTATTTAAGTAATTATACGACAAATAAACACGTTATCATTTCCATCATATTATAAATATAAACCTTTCAATCAATACACTACAGTACACTAAATACGCGCATAACTGACCATCATAAAACTGACCATCAGTTTAGTGGTGATTGAGAGCTCACGAGCACATTCAGTCAGAGCACATTCACTGCAAAAAAACTAAGCCATATACTGTATATCTAACAATTAATAAAATATTTATTTAAAAACAAAATTTAATTACCTATAACAATATGTCTTATCACTCTATAATATACCATGATACAAAATTTGAAGGTGGTCAGAAAAACATACGTGTTTGGATACCCGGAAATCTTAAGACAATTAACGATCTTAGAAAACATTTGGCAAATAGTGGTCTCATTAATGAAAGCGTCGACTTTATTACCACCGGAAGCGGCACTACTCTTATGTTTCAATCGCTTCCCGATGACGAGCCATTAGAAAATAGCCAGGTACATTGGAATTATGCCATATATGTTCATTCGAGATCTAATCAGGTGGTCATCAACCAATTATCAGGGTATATTTTGAGATGTTTTTTCAATGCAATGTTATTTATAAAATGTTTGTTCAAAACTATAGTCTGAGTGAAGAGTCGGACCGAAAGTGTCGTGAATTGTGTGAAGAGATGTCGGCTCTGAAGGCAAGCAATGAGTCCGAAGTGATCAATGTTATTTGATATAAAATGTTTGTTCAAAACTCTAGTCTGAGTGAAGAGTCGGACCGAAAGTGTCGTGAATTGTGTGAAGAGATGTCGGCTCTGAAGGCAAGCAATGAGTCCGAAGTGAAGGCATTGAAAGCACAGCTCAAGTCATCAGAAGATTCAATGCATACAATGGCGGAAGAGATCAATGATTTGAGACAACAATTGTGTTCAGAAAAGAGGTTTAATATAATTATTTAGATATTTTTAAAATTTTAAACCCCTTTTTAACATAAATTATATTTTCTCAGTAATCAAGAAGTAGTCACAGATTTGAGTGAATTGTTGACAAAAAACATTGCTTTAAGTGAAGAGTTATTGGCTTTTAAGTCGAGCAATGAGTCTGAAGTAAAGACATTAAAAGCAGAGCTGATGTCATCCATGGATTCAATGGAGACAATGGTTACCGAAAATAATAATTTGAAACAAATGGCGTATACTTTATCACAAGTGGTTTCAAATAACATGAGGTTTGTTATAACTGCTAATTATATATTACGTTTGATTGCATTTAAACTAGTTTTGATATAAATTTATAATTATTTTCAGTAATCAAAATATGGACACAGATGTGAAGCACAAATCCAAACATACCATTGAATCTGATATCAAACTATTGGCTCAAGAAATCAATTGTTTAAATATAAGGTTTGATTTTAATTAATCTTAATAAATTTTATAAAATATTTATATATTAATAAAAACAGGCATTCATTGAGTGATTCGTCGTCCAGTTGTTCATCGATCGGATCCCACAATCAATTGACCACTAATTAAGTGATATTTAAATAGGTTTACTATAGAAGTATATTTTATATGGAGAACTCCAGCCTATTAGTGATTACATTAATTGTAATTTAATTGTTTTACTTATTTTTCATAAACATTTGCAGTAAATGCAGTGATTTTTACATTAATGAATATTTTGGCAATAAATGTAACTCAATAATGATTAATACAAATTATTATGTATAATTAGCACAAGTTTATTACTGTATTTAATATTGTAATAATTATGTATTTGAATTAAAATTATATTAATTATACAATAAATATTTTAAATTAAAAAGTATTTCTGAATGAATCAACTGATGTTGAATAAAAATATTTTTATTTTGTGTTTTATATTGACATTTAGGCCAAAAACAGTAATAATNTATATTGACATTTAGGCCAAAAACAGTAATAATTATAATGCTTTTTACTGTCAATTAAATGATTATTCTTGTGGTCAACCAATGATTGTTTAGACTTACAATCTTTACCACATTCTCACAGACATCCCGGCGTACAGTTGGCCTCTCTATAGGTTTCGCTGTATAATTTTGGCCAAAAGCCATGCAATCAATACAAGTCTTATTGGGATCAACGCTGAGATCCGAGCGATTGATTGATTCAATAGTATTGCTATGAAATCGCATCTACTGTATTTATCACTCGTTTATAACTGCGATAATTGATTGCAATATTAATTATGTTTAACACAATCAGTGATAACAACAATTAGTCAATAATATCTAGATTTTTTATTGTAATTGACTTATAATCATGTTATTTATTAGATTTTAATGGCAATACATACAATATTTTAGACAAAAATATTTCCATTAATTATAAAATGGTAAAATAATAAACATAATTCAATAGTAAAGTAAATTACAATAATTATAAATATTAGGGTTGAAATATCATTTGATTTTATGAAACATTCTTAAATGGTGAGCTAACCCGGCTTTAACTGCATATGATTTGTGACAATTATATTCATAACATTTGAATGGCTTATCATTTAAATGAATACGTTTTGTATGATTTATTAATTCATATTTTTGTAGAAAAGTTTTGTCGCAATCACTTGAAGTGCATTTGAATTTTCTAATATTTAGATGATATATCTGTTTATGTCGCCATAGATTAGCATTTTGTTTGAAACTTTTGTTACAATTTTTGAATTCACAATTAAATAGTTTTTCTCCCGAATGAATGCGTTTGTGTTGAATGAGACACTGCTTTGTATTAAATTTTTTGCCACAATTTTCTTCATTGCATTTGAATTTCCTTTCATTCAAATGAACACAACTTTTGTGTCGAAATAAATGCTTTTTAGATATAAAGCTTTTATGGCATTCATTGAAATCACAAATAAATCTCACATTTAAATGAACAGAATTTTTGTGTTGAATTAAACTATCGCTTTGTGTGAACTCTTTATCACAATTATTAAAATCACATTTAAATGGTTGTATTGATAAATGAATTAATTGATGTCGAGTTAAACGTTGTTTATTTGTTGTCTTGAATTGACATTTAGGCCAAAAACAGTGAAAATAATCATCAG